GGTTATATTATAGTTAATGCTGTCTACGATTTTGCCATGAATTCTGCCATCCAGGACCATTCAGATGCAAATTCCCCGTAATAAACGAATAAAATGTACGGCAAAAGATCCGTTCAACATATTTATAAGTGAATCGCCAAGAAAGTCTTTGGAGTGTCATCACAACAGTACACTCGCAGTGAAAATGTACAAACACCACGGCAGGCCCATCTCCGAAAACGGCGCATCGGGGTCCGCCTTGTCTCACTTTCGCCGGGTATTACAAAGGCATTAATATCCGTCTATGCCGTTTCTATTAACATGTTAAAGGAAGCCGGGTCATTTTCTTTTATTTTCTTTTTTTTATTATTGAAACAGATCCATTGTACACGGTTGAGTCGTGACCCGAAGATGAAAGAAAATAGACCACGGTCTGGACCATGGATGTTTTTCTGTTTACTTTCAACTTTTTTCCGCTGTTTATACTCGAGAGGTGAAAAGGTTGAGGCTAAAGGGGAAAAATATCATTTTCTGGTTTGAGCAACAGACAGCTCGTGATGCAAGGAACGCTTATGAATCCTAAGTGATTTTTATAAACCCAGACGAGTTAATTCTGTCTGTAATTGATTTCTTGTTACTTAATTTATTTTTATCTTAAAACCAGTAAAACCTTTGAATTTATGACTTCTGTTCAATCAATTGTGACAATCAAAAAGAATTGTTGATTTTATTCTGATAACAAAACAATTCGCCTAAACACTAATATGGATTTAAATCGTGCAAATCTGCAGAATATGTACTTTTTGAGGCTTCTGATTTCATATCAAAAGATTTTGACAATAAAAATAAAGTCATAGGACTTTTCTTGGATATCTCAAAGAGGTTTGAATCTGTAGATCTTGCAGTATTGCTTGAAAACATTTCAATGTTGGTATCAAAGGATCAGTTTATAATTTCATTAAATCTTATTTCTTGAATAGGACGCAAAAGCAAAAATAAGCCAAACTTTTAGCAATCCACAGCAGTGGTGTTCCCAAGGAAGTGTTTTAGGGCCTGTGCTATTTTTAATTTACATTAATGATTTTAAGCTAAAACTTTCTGGTAAAATATTGGGATTCGCTGACGATAGAGCTATACTTTTTTCAGACAAAAATTTTGATGTTATAATAAAATATGTTAATGGGGAAATAACAGTAGTTAAAAATGGTTACATAGTAATTTCCTACTTTTAAATACACTTAAAACTAAAAATCATTAAATTTAGCCTCTCAAATCAAAACGACATAAATGAATATAGTATCACATTCTTGGGTAAATACATTTAACTGTAAATGCTTGATTATACCCTTTTCCAAACAAGTAAAATATTTGGGAATAAGTTTTGATATTAAATGTGTAGTGATTAGTGAACGTTAATCGTTATTTATTTAGAAATCGTGAGGTGCGGTCTGGTGTAATGTAGGTTTCAGAAAAACATTTTCTTTATCGTGCCAACGTTTCGATCTTTATTGAGATCATCTTCAGGGCTCAAAGTGTTTGTCTTCTGTGTAATTCTGCCATTCTTGCGTGTCGTGCGGGCACTCTCGACACGACACGCAAGAATGGCACAATTACACAGAAGACAAACTCTTTGAGCTCTGAAGATGATCTCAACAAAGATCGAAACGTTGGCACGATAAAGAAAATGTATTTCTGAAACCTACATCACACCAGACCGCACCTCACGATTTCCAAATAAATTTTGATATTAAATTTAACTTTAAGTTTCATATTGATGATTTGGTAAAAAAGTTTAGAAAATTATTTTATAAATTTAAAATTTTAAGAAATATTTTTCAGACAGATTTAAGAAGTGTGTTTATTTTGCATTTACTCAATCCCTGATAACATGTGAGATCCTAGTTAGGAGAGATACTACAAAATTTAAAATTTCTACAATAATTCTTGCTCAAAATTCTATAATAAAAATGTTGCAAAATAAACATAATGGGTACAACTCAAAACAACTTTATATTGATTTTAAAGTGTTAAAAGTCAAACGATTATTTTTTATGTATTCATGTCTTCGTATTTATAAGCATAAACCTATTATGAACTTCAATTACATTGCAAGAACAAATGCGTTAATCCGATTTATTGTACCTAAAGTAAACACTTCCGTGCATAAAACCAATACGTATGTTGTAGCATTAAGGTTCATATAACAAAGTAAACAAAGTTGATATAAATTCCTTTTACTCTTACGATTTGATTTTTTTAAACATTTTATAACTAAATAAGAGACATTTTTATATGTAATATACTAATAATATAATTATTTAAAACATTACATAAAATGACGATAGTTAAATAAATTGAACACTGCAACTACTAATTTGTACTAATCTATTTTTTTTTCATTTTTTTAATGCATAGAACTATTTGTGAGCTCAAAACTCCTGCTCTTAAGCACAAGTTAAACTTACTGAGAGCAGGCTGTTCATTTTACATTATTTTGTTCTACGTTATCATTTTTCAATTAATTTTTATAAATGAAAATATTAAATTTGACCCAATTTCACTAGATCTTGAGCTTTTTAGCTTATTTCTTATTGCTTGAAACATAGTCTGGACGGTACAGTTATTAAAATAATATTAAATTAACACATAGTAAAATACAAAAGAATAATTATGAAAAAAATGCTAAAATTTTAAATATTATACTAATTAAGTAAATAAATTAACTTATTAAAAACATAGATGAAAAAATCAGTTGTTCAATTAAATTGTCTTAAATTTATTCCAAACTTATTTTATAAGAAAAAACATATTTATTTGTATCACTTACCTTTTAAAAAACGATAAAATAGAAGTGATTTTAAAAAGGCCGATTACAAAAATTATTGGTATATATTATTTTTTTGATATTCATCATAAATTTATATGTATATTTTATCATAATTTATTTTAATACGATTCGAACGAAATATAACTTCACTAACAGCTCACCGTGGCCACTTCATATGTCGCCGAGAATCGAATCCTCATTACACGACATTTGAAAAATGGCAAAAAAGGAGGGAAAATTCGAAAGTTTGTAGGTTGAGATGGGGAGTTGGTCCTAGTGGCTCGAAGTCGCGATAGCTCAAGGGGTAGAGCAGCGGCGTTATTAGCCGAAAGAAGGGGGTTCGAATCCCGCTCGTGGCACTAGCTTTTTTCATTTCAACCAAAACCTTACGTAAAAAGATTAATTAATTGAAAGAAGTTTGGACATTAGATCACGAAATATAATGGATTATCATTTTTCTCAAAGTAACCGCACAAATAAATACGAGTCTCAAATATAAATACGACAGTTCTGGATATTCCTCCATCGATTAACCCTAGTTTATTAGAAATCTAATTTAAATGGGGGTACTTTTATTCCGTCTTTGACCCTGAAAACACCCTGCTAGAGAGGCGATGTATTTCACCTTCAACCCTCAAACAGATACACATACAATAAAAAAAAACACGTCCTCCCAAAAGCGGAATAGGGAACTTGTACCCGAGAACCGTTCTTAAATTCGGCGGCGTGCCTACACGCTCGCTGTAAGGAGCGAAGGAATGAGAAAATTCTATTATGTAGGACCATCGAGCAACTTTCTCGTTAGAAAAAAAACATGTAATCACATTTTTAAATTATTATCTGCAATCTGCAATTAGTAATGAATGAACCTCAAATGGTAAACTCATCTCGTAAAATAAACATCATTGTACAATACGATCAAAATTTTTATATACTCTTGCTTTCTTTTTACGAAATTGGACAAACGACCCTATTATTACATATTTGCTTATCTTCTTTCTTCTTGTGTCTTTTTTCTATACTGAATTAACACATAACCCTCAATGCAAAGCAAGGGGATGCTATCTCGTTTGAAAACATCCAAATTCTTTTTGTTTATTTTCATAATATTGGACAAAAGACCCTATTCTTACAGATTTGATTGTCTTCTAGGTGCCATTTTTTCTACTATGAATAACAAATAAACATCCAATGGTAAAGCAAAGGTATCCACACTTGATATAGTCAAAACGTGTAGCTTCCTCTTTTTTTATTATGTAGTGAAAAACAAATTATAAAATTATTTTGACATATTTTGTTTTCTTCCTCTGTCATTTTTTTTACAATATATACAACTTGACAGTTTTTTATATTTTTTTTAATATTATATCTCAGTTGAAAATCACATATAGAAAAAAAATACAAAGTAAGAAGTCTTTTCCTTTTGCCACCATATAATTTAATTACAGGTCTAATGTTTCAATTGGGCAATATGACGATTTTGAATTAAAGTAATAAAATTATTTTAAATTATAATTAATACATTTCAATGGTCAATTTAGTACATTTTGAGATATTATACTGCGTCTAAAAAAAAAATTGCAGATAAATTTAAACGGTTTTAAGAGGAGATGTTAAAAAATTTTATATACTTTAGTTCTATTTTTTCTTTATTTGGCTTTCTACGTCTGTACGACAGTTTCACCCTTCATAGAACGTTTATGAGATTTTCATGATAAACTCCATCCCATTAAAATAAATTTTGATAAAATGATGAATTATGATGAATATCAAAAAATAATACGTACCAATAATTTAATAACAATAATTTTTGTAAGCGGCGTTTTTAAAATTACTTCTATTTTATCGTTGTTTTATAACGTAAATGATACAAATAAATATATTTTTTAATATAAAATATAGTTAAATTTAAGGCAATTTAATTGAAAAACTGATTATTTTGTCGGTGTTAATAAGTTAAGTTATTTACTTAATTAATAGAATATTTAAAATTTTAGCAATTTCTTCATAATTATTCTTTTGTATTTTACTATGTGTTAATTTAATATTATTTTGATCATTATACCGTCCAGACTATTTTATGCAAGCAATAAATAAATAAGCTAAAAAGGGTGGTTTCTGGTGATTTGAACGGTCGGTCAAAGAGGGGTGCGCGACAAGAGTAGCAAAGGTGCTTGACGTCCTAGGGGCTTACCTTAAGAAATACGCGAATAAATAAGAATCCAGAGATGGGACGGTGGCTCTTCTCGGCTTGCCTCGACGTTTCGGACACTTACTGGAATCACGTCTCGAAATGGACTGAAGATCTACGCGGCGAGGATTCCATTCGAATCGCGAGGATCCCCCACCCGGGCGGCGGCCTCTCACGGTCTCACCACCCTTCATCAAAATTCAACGCGGATGGGGGAGACGGATTTATTTTACCTCCCTCTTATTTTATCAATTCGAAGGAAGTATTTTGTAGCGTTCCGGCTAAGTATATTTGATTTATGTACAATATTGAATCACTATCCAATGCTGTACAAAAAAACAACTAGCTTTGTCTTAATCAATGCTATAGTTTCTATCAAAGCTTCTTCCTCCAAATTCTCTTGTTCTTTTCGACGTTATAAATCCAAATTTTTAAACTGATATCTCTTCTGTGGTGTTAAGCGAATTTTCAATCAAGGACATCCATATGCTATCGGAAATCTGCACCAAACTATCGCATGAACATGTAGAATTTTGTATGTTGAATATAGAAAATAACGATGAAACATACCTTTCTTATTGGATAGATACCTGGTTCTACTTCCGGCCCAGCAATTAAGAAAATTGAATTGTGACATTTCCTTCTTAAGTTCTGTGAGGTGATGCCCCTGTATCTTGGTCTTTTCTAACGAAAACTAACAAAAAATAACGTTTAATAACTCTGATGGTCAGTAAAAGTGAAGATGCAAAAGTAAATAGAGCATGAAATAATTAAACAGATTAACTTTGCTTTAATGATTTCACTAGGACTCGCCAACACACCGAATTGCAGCAGGCCTTTACTATTTGGTAGCCTAATACCATCGATTATTAGTTATCTGATAACTAATTTTATTAAGCTTTCGAGTCTTTTTTTAATAATTTTATTGTACGATGTGCATTAATGTTTTGATAATTACTTTTTAACTAATACAGTAGGTTCATGGAAGGATGAAGAACACCCACTACATGGTGGTTCATAAAGGTAGGAAAAATTCTGTAAATTTTTTTCGTGCACTAAGATTGGAAATGTTATCATAGTCATTACTTTTTAAGTTTAGCGTTATTGTGATGATCCCATGAAAATCTTTTTCCTTTTAGCATCCCTTGGTTACGTATTTAGTTGGTTAAGCGGTCCATGGTTGAGTTTAGATTTAAATCGGGTATGTTCCAGTCTTTGGCGACTGTTAATTGTCCTCTTTCTCATATTCCAAATAGTTCCTGCATATTTCACTGTTTGTATTTTTTTGGTCAATATCGCTGAGGCGGAATACCAGATGGAGCATCCATACAGTGCGGATCGAATCAACAGTAGATTAGTATGACAGTAGAGGTTTTTACGAGTACTCTCGGATTCTTGTTTTCTGTTATATATGGCATATCGGTCGACGTGTTCACTTTGAATCGTTATTGGCGGAAAGAATATTTGTCGTTACACTAGTCTTGATTCAGACGAGTTGATCATAACCCTACAGTTGACTATGCTTCCATTTTGCTGATAACCTTGTGCGTGCTTGCTGCTAAAAGCTATAGATGTTACTGGAGTTATCTGCTGGCTTTGGGTAATAGTGTATAAATAGTCCATGTAGTACAACCAAAAGGCCCCAAGAAGCCTCGCTCAAAACTGATCTAAATATTTCATTGTTTTTAATTGACACATTAAGACCCTTTAGCATCTTAAGGGAGAGGGTCTTAAATTTGATTAGTAGGCTAACACGACAAACCTTCTCGGAGGACCTTTTGAAGCACTGAGAAATATGAAAGAATGCCAATACATTTTCTTATAGTGCATTTCACAAAAATTGAATTTTGACATCGTCGAGGTCTGCGAGGATGTAGATTTTTCGTATCCGGTCCTCCTGGTGCGCCAGTTGAACCAAAATGTATATATGCGTCTGACAGATCAAACCAGCAAGACTCGCGGACCTGAATGTCGAAGACGGCCGAATTTCTAATTAATAAAGTATACCGAGTTGACTTATCTTTAGGGCTACTGCCGCCTGGTTGTTGCCAGTTACCATGAGAAGTTAGGCTTATGAATTTAGTCAGTCTTTCCCTTTACATCGTTCGCGGCACCCGTTTTACTCCGTTTTAGGTTATTCCTTCAAGTTTTATTTCTACTTGTTCGCGACGATGTAAACTAAAGAACGTACTTCTCTCCATGTTCAACGGTTCGATCGATTAAGATCAAGCGAGAACCAGAAGACCACGTCAAGCCAATCCTCAGGCTGGCCAATCGGCAGAACGGCGTCTGGACTCAATAAAGTAGAAAAGTTAAGCCTTGAAATATTATCTTGGTTCTTTGTTTCAACCGCCTTAACGTCTGAAAACATCTTCAGGCAGTAACATTTTTCAAAATGAACAGTTATTGATTAATTAGCTTAATTGAAAGTAACTTCAAAGTGCTAGAATGGTCATTCTGATCTACCTAACCTCGTTGATTTAGTCCTGCCCAGGCATTCATTTATCTAAATACAGAATTAAAACACCATTTTTGGCCCATGAGAACATATTCACATCTCTTCGTGGTTTGGACCTGGATACGGTGTATTGCCTTTTATTCTATACACTTCATGCCTATTTTTATTTTTATGGACTTTACTCTGTTACTCATATATGCGCCCTAAGTTTCCGTTGAACTAAGTTTCGATCTATATCCTTTTCTTTTAAAACTTTTATTTAAGAAATTGACTATCTGCCCTGAGTAAATAATATAATATTTTTGATCCTTGCGCTTATTAATTTGAGTATCCTCGTTCTTATTTATAGTCATCGACGTAATTTTTCGCTTCGTTAATTTTTATTCTACCTGCCTTCACACAAAGTTGTAGGTTGGTCTTTTCCCCCATCAATGGCTAGAATGATCGGACGCTACAGGTTCAGCAAAAACAACGGGTTCGTCACCCTTCACACCTCAAGAAGAAATATCACAATTCTACACTTATCGCCATTTTTTTTTTTTTTCAATTTTTGAGAAGTGTAAGAATGTGAAATAATTTAATCTCATAAAATCATCGAATAACATTAGATTGTCAGTTGTCACCACCGGACAATTTTTAAATTCTTCTTAAAATTAATTAAGGTATTTAGTTCAGATAAAAAAGTTAATGGCACCAGCGGGATTCGAAACCACGATGTTCGGCTAAATACGCCGCTGCTCTACCACTTGAGCTATCGTGACCTCGATCCACTCGGACACCAACTTCCTATCTCAACCCCACCTTTTGAGTTTTCCCTCCTTTTTGCCATTTTTCAAATGTCGTGTAATTGGCATATCTAGCCGAAGATCGTGGGTTCGAATCCCGCTCTTGCCATTGACTTTTTTATCTCAACTAAAAACCTTAATTGATTGTAATATATTAATTGGTCAAGCGGACCACGAAATAAGTGAATTCTTCTTAAATTTCAACCAAAGGACTATGCATCGTTTTATGATCATATTTGTGAGCATAACACCAACGTCGAAGACACTAATAACTCGCCTATTTTGTAAATTATGAAGAAAATATAAAGTTTTGTCGGCCTCGGCGTGCTTTGACGTTATTAAGGGTTCAGTCCTAGGTTTTGTTTTCCTACGTGATCTGGTTATTATGTATTCAAGGTAGTTTCGGTGGCCTTTGAAGTGGAGGTGTATCTTATGATGAAACGTGATTTAGTAACTACTTCATCTTTTTTTTCTTCTTCTTTTTAACGAGGGTTCGCAACAGCAAAGGTTATATCAACCCTGTGGGTGCCGGTGTTTTTGAAAAAAAGCCCATTTGTTTCAACGTAGGGTCGTTGGATTCGAACCCGGGACCTTTACCTTACAGTAATGAGCGCCGGATCAACGCCTATATCGTTGCGGCCACCGACGCCCCTTATTTAATCTTTATTTCTGTATTTCTGAAAATTACAGATGATTATTGTTGTAAACATCTGTGTTTTTCCATTTTTGTGTTGTTCTATGCAGTTTTGATTGTTTGACTTATTGTAGAAATTAAATACTATTAAAAATGTACCTAGAAGAAACGAATATTTATCGAAATTATGCCGAAACCGAAACTAGGTGAAACGGGGAAAGAAAGAATCGTAGAATCGCAAGAGCAAACTAGCGCGTAGATTGTGGAAAATGATATTATAACATATTCAAACCCCGTGTTACTTTGTTCAAACAAAAGGCTGTCCTTTCCTTCATCTTCCCACCTAATTTAACATTTAGATATCTGCAAAACAAAAACAATAAAAAGTGGTGACTTTCCAAGTCACGCTCCCGTATAATCGATGCCCATGGCAGACTAATCGAAAGTCATCGAAAGTAGGCAACAGGTTACATATTCAGCAAACGAGAAGCAATCGGATCGTCCTACATGGGACAAAAAGCATAACCGACGTGAGCCCATTTTTCAATAGCCGAATATGAATCCTATAGAAATATCCCGCCCAAGGACTGTTCCCAACCTAGTTACAGCCTGACGCAACTCATTAATTAATTTGGGAACTAACTCGGCACCTTAGGAATATGTGCACACCTCTAATTATTACACGTCCCCATCCTTGTCCGTCAAAGAAACGTCATTGCCCAATCACAAAAGCTGATAACATCAAAATAGCAGTCGTAATCATTTAGTTTGATATAAACGAAGTGTATAGTAAGTACTATACTAATTATTGTACAGATAGTTGTCTTCAAATTTTGAAAAAAGGACTACTAGAGATGATGATGAGTACAAGGGCAGTTATCTATCACTATAGCTTCGCAGTTTTCATACCACTAACTATCACAGAATCATCATAAAGATTGTAAACTGTCTGACAGAAAAACCTAGTGAGTCTACGTAGACCAGGATGACCGGAGGTGATCCGACTAAATGTCCATCAACTAGCAGACCTGACACTAGGGGTGTTCACACAAACTGTGCTAATCGTTTTAAGTATACTGTCCAGAGGTTTTATGACAAGTGTCGATATAGTACGCACAACAATGAAATAGTATGAGCAAAAGTACACAAGTTAAGTAAACAAAAACAAAATTCGCGCTATCAGTAAAAATCAAAAATTCAACTGGTCTGTGCACTCCCTGCAGTGCTCCAGTGCACTCTTT